ACCAAAATTCTACTCTAAACCGGTGGTTCTCAACTTCTAGCGTGCATTAGAATCTCCTGAGGGCTTGTTAAAATTCGGATGGCTCCCCCTGCCCCCAGATTTCCCGCTTCAGCAGGTCAGTGTGGGCCCAAGCACCTGCATCCTCAACAGGCTCCCAGGGCATGCTGATGCTGCGAGTCCAGGGACCCCCTGTGAGGACCACACTCTAAAGAGGGGCACAAAAATTAAAGTCTTGCTTGAAGTAGTTTGTTTGTTTGTTTTTGATGAAAATGACAGGGAATTTATTTAATCTTGGGTGTCCCTGGCGGCTCAGACGGTGAAGAATCCGCAGGCAATGCAGGAGACTGGAGTTCGATCCCTGGGTCGGGAAGATGCCCTGGAGAAGGGAATGCAACCCACTCCAGTATTCTTGCCTGGAGAATTGCATGGACATGGGGCGGTGGCAGACTACAGTCCATGGGTTTGCAGAGTCAGACACGACTGAGCGGCTAACCCTTTCACTATTTTATCTCACATTTAATAAAAGGAGATCGCAGGTGCCATCAATTCTTAGGCTAAATTAAGTGTGTGCTTGATGAGGGGAGGAGAAGGCAGGGAGGAGGAGGCAGGGAGGAAGAGGCAGGGGTGGGCAGCCTGGGACGCTCCCGGGACTTTGCTGGGTTGAGACTGTCACGAGAGTGTATGCTCCTCGGTTCTTTGTCTCGTCACAACAAAGATTTGGGGTGACAGACATTAAAGCCCCTTGGAGGGTCATAGCTCTCGGAGGACAGACCATGTTATAGCTCTCCGGTCTCGAACGGACCGTGTTATAGCTCTTAAATAAATCAGTGTTATAGCTCAGTGTTACAGCTCTATTTATTTAGATAATAGCAGGAAAATCCATCTTCGAGGAGTGAGGGCACTTCGATCCAAAGACGCGAAGAGAAGAGCGCCCCATCGCGCGGGGGACAGAAAAGGGAGAGAGAAGCGGGCTTTGGCTCCTCTTTCTGTACGTTTCTCTGTCCCTGGGCCTGCCTTATGTAAACTGGGCCGGCCAGAAGTGTTGTTTGTTTTACCTGAGGTTCTCACTCCGGTCCTCGGACCTTCCCTTGTTCTGTTTTCGGGCTTTCCCTTCCAGGTCTTTTAGCCACCACCATTTTGGACTCTTTTTCCCTATTCTAATTACCTAACAAGACCAGGGCCAGCGTGTGTCAGAGGTGCCCCGGCACCTGCCGCAGCAGTTTGGAAGGGGACCTGGCAGTAGGGCCCAGGCAAATCGGAAGTGTACATGCTTGACGTTGGGTTTCGAGTGCCAAGGTCTCCGTTTCAGAAGACGTCCATCCTGGATGAACGTGTTGCCAGCTGCGTGGCACGGCCACCCACGGAACATTCAGGTAGGATGCTCTGCCTCCTCCCACACCACGGAGGCCCTGGGTAACCAGGTGCTGGTGACCCCACCTCTAGCTTCCTGCACCCAATCTCTCCCTCTTATGTTCAGTTAGCCCACGAGGGACCCCTCAAAACCACACACACCCCCTCCCTCAGACCCTAATAAAGGCAGAGTCTGGGGTCACCTCGCTCTCTCCCGTACCTGCTCACCGTGTGGCCCTGGGCACGCCCTGTATCCACCAGGACCTGTTGGCCATAAGTCTTGCTCCCCCTCCTGCCAGACAGTCGAGGGGAGGGAACTCTGTCTGGAGCCTGAGACACAGCTTGGCCTGATCCCCACACTCAGAGCCTGTCCCAGGGCTGAACTCGGGCTGAACTCAGGCAAAGCTCTTCTTGACCAAACCTTAGACAGGTTTCCCCAGGCCTGGCTCAGGACCTGCCTAAGACAGTCTCGGCAGAGAATCCTGCTGAGTCACCCCCCACCCTTGGCATCAGAGCAAGCTCCTTCATCCTCATCTCTGATGCCTACTCCTTGGCCTGCCTTTAACAAGAATCACCCTCCCCCGGAGCCTCCTGTTAGCAATTCTCCACCCAGGGACCCCTCACAGTGCCCTGTCTAAAAGCCCCAGCTGCCTCTGCTGCTCTCGGAGATGAGCACAGCTGTTTCCTCTATAACAGCAGGGCTGAATAAAACCGGGCTCAATCCCCTCTCATCAGCACCGTGCTCCTTTGACCCTGAGGCTCATCAATCAAACACGTGTTTCCATGGGCAGCCCAGCCCACCACCCCCTTCATCCAGCAAGCAGAGGCCTTTGGGCTGCAAAACCCTCCCAGGAACCCGCCTGCTTCGCAGCCTGGCTGGAATCTGGGTGCGTCCATGCCTCACGTGGAGCGTCACCCTGGGGCTCGCTAGGCAGAGACCCCCAGGCCTCCAGGGTGCCTGGCCTGGCAGTGATGTTCGGAAACCTCGTGAGTCGGAGACATCTCTCAGGCAACCCTGCCCGCTTTGTGAAGCCTGAGGTCCCCACTGGGCCAGCTTGGCCACGGGGTTCTGCCCTCCCTTCCTACCCAAGGCCAGGGGCAAGGGCATGCCTGGACGGAGGACAAAGCCGCCCGTCCTCCTGGCCCTTCTGGCGGGAACTCAGCCTGAGGACGTGGAGCAGCGCCAAAGCAGGCACGGGGAGGCTGCGTGTGGTGGGGACAGCGACGAGACCCAGATGGCCCGGCCTCCCGCCCACCGTGAGCGTCCCCAGCCGAGGAAAATCGTCCTGCCAGTTGTATTTAATGATGGGTCACGACGGCGGAAACTTGTCTTCCAAGTTGATTCAGCAGGAGGAAGCGCTCCCTGGGGACTGTAAGTAGAGGGTGAGCCGTTCAGCTCGCCCCACCCCCGGCTGTGACTGTCAGAGCAAAAGAAGTGAGGAAGCCACGTACCTCGGCAGGTGGCCCTGGAGGGGTGGATGCGGCCAGTCACCCGCCGCTCAGCCCCCAATGCACTTCCCAGTCAGGAAGCTTCTCCCGCTGCCTGGCATTTCCCAAGGGCCCGCTGTTTCCCCCACCGTGTGAGAGCTAACGCTTCCACCTAGAACCCCGGGAGTCCTGTCCTGGTTTCTCGGCTCAGGTGGGACCTCAGATGAGACCCGCTGGGAATAACCTTTCTCCACGTCCCTCCTGAGTCTCTCTTCCATGCCAGGCAGAGCGTCCACCCCGAGCCCCAGGCTGTTTCACAGCCTAAGGCGGGGGCGGGGTGTTGATGCGGTCTGCCTGACTCCACTATTTCACCATCTGACGTTTGGTTCTTTGTGCCTTGGGATACATGCTTCCTGAGGAGCACAATTTTAGTGGAAGTTGAACTAGTTAGAATTTTTCTTAACACCAAAAGCATTTTGTATTGGGGTATAGCCCTTTAACAACGGTGGTGGTAATTGCAGAGGAACTATGAAGGGACTCAGCCTTACATATACATGTATCTATTCTCCCCCAAATCCCTCTCCCATCCAGGCTGGCAACATAACATTGAGCAGAGTTCCATACAGCACAGACCAGTTAGAATCTTGATCTAAGATTTCAAACTGCTCCTCAGAAGAGTAATGGAGCTTAAAGGAGAGAAGGGTTTCACACTCAACTGCGTTAGGGGAAACACTGGGTTAGATGAGGTTAAATAGCCTTTGCAGAACTTATCAGAGTGTCTGTTACTTCAGTGATGTTTATTGAAGGCCTCCCGCAGGCCAGGCACAGGGCCAGGTCCTGGGGTGGCAGTGTTCATCAAAAGGGATGGGCTCTAGGAATGGGGTGAGCGGATGACTGATGCTTAATTAGTGCCTGACTGATTACAGTTGTCATGGTGACACAGAGCAATGCGGGGTGCTCAGTAGAGATCGAGGGGGTGGACGGTCCAGGGGAGACCCTGGCTGGGAAAGAAAGATGTCGTAGCTTGGTGTCTGAGGGTGAGGAGGAGTGCAGAGGTGCAGGATTCTATGCAAGGCTGGAAGGCCCTCAGGGGAGCAGGTGTCTTGGAGGAGCTGGAAGAAGGCCAGGGCGGCTGGAGCGTGAGGGCAATCATGTCAAGACTGGGAAGTGGTGCAGGCGAACTCGATGGGTTTTAAGCTGGCGTTGGCATGACAGTTGTCTTTTGAAAGGTGCTCTGGAGGATGACTTGCTGGGGACAAGAAGGGGTGTGGAGAAGGAGAGAGGGTGTCTGTAGACCAGGGGGTAAGGGAGGGGGTAACAGCAGCTTGGACCAGAGAGCAATAGCCATGGAGGAAGGTGGACCAGTCCAGAGACGTCAAGGAGGCAGAATCGACTGGTGTCAACAGTGGAACCAGGACCCTGCTGGTGCCTCAGCTGCTGGTGGGTCAGGAACGCCTTGCCCTTCTCTGAAAATTTATTCCTAAGTATTTCATTCTTTTTGATGTTATTGTAAACGGGTAATTGTTTTAATTATCAGGTTTCAGTGAGTATGATTCTAGTGTGAGTCAGGATACATGTTATAATGTCTATGTGCCTCTAGGAAATGCAAGATGTGTAATAGTCAAGAAAATGGGGAGAGGGAGTGAAACAATAAAAATTGAACTAAAAGAGGCACACACACAAAAAAAAGGAATCTGGAAAAGGTAAGACAAATAAGCACATAGTAAGACAATAGATTTAAATCCTGATACATTTGCAATTTCATGAAATGAAAATGAACTAAATGTTCTAGTTCAAAGGCAAAGTTTGTTCAGTCCTAGAGCCTTTCCCCGGAGAAGGCAATGGCACCCCACTCCAGTACTCTTGCCTGGAAAATCCCATGGACAGAGGAGCCTGGTAGGCTGCAGTCCATGGGGTCGCTAAGAGTCGGACACGACAGAGCAACTTCACTTTCACTTTTCACTTTCATGCACTGGAGAAGGAAATGGCAACCCACTCCAGTGTTCTTGCCTGGAGGATCCCAGGGACCGGGAAGCCCGGTGGGCTGCCGTCTACGGGGTCGCACAGAGTCGGACACGACTGAAGCGACTCAGCAGCAGAGCCTTCCCCACTGTGGTGGGTGATGGACGGTTGTTCCTTTGCCACGCCACAGTGGCCACTCGGGTCCTAAGAAAGTTCTAGAATCCCAGTTCCCAGGAGACTTGCAGGAGTTCCGTGGCAGTTGGCACCCCGTGAGGGACGGGAGCCATTTCTTTTACTGGTCTGGAAAGAGCTGCCAATCGCTTGGCTCTGCTAGCTACCTGAGAAGCTGTTTGCTGTCAGCTGGTGAGTGGCCAAGAATTATGCTCAGGGGCAAAGCTGAGGGGGCTCCAGAGGGCAGAGGTGGAGCCCAGGTGCTGGTGGACAGTAGCCCCCTTACCTTCCCCGCACCCCCCACCCCCCGGAAGGCGTCCTGTTCCCTGTTCGTGGCCAGTCAGGGTTTGGAGCATCCCTTTAAATTTCATGCTCACAAGGAATGCCTCGTTTGTCTTGGTTCTTTGGGGCTTCAAGGGGGTCCCCCCTCAGCTCTCCAGTTACTGTCCCTATAAGAGAGCTACAAGGGATCCTCCCAGAGGGAATGTGAGCGACATCTGGGCGGTCCATGGGAAAATCCCCTTATGGGCATGTGATGGGGGTTGGGGGGCCAAAGAGACGCTGAAGGGCAGGGCAAATGTTGGGGTACACTATGGCTGCTGTTAGGATGGGGAGAACATGAACTTCACCCGCTCATCGGGCCCACCCCCTCTGTCTGGCATCCTGAGGGTGTGATGTCCTCTTCCTGGGATCTTGCATCCAGGCCCTTCTGTCACTTCATTTTGTGACATTTCCTTTCCCCACCCCCTCCCCTTCAGACTCTGTTGCGATGGTCCTTGCCTTTTCCCCAGGGGCCATCTCTACCTTTCCCAGCCTATTAACTTGGTGGTCACAGTGAACCCAAGCAGACACACTGTCCGGTGGCCCTGCTCCACGGTGACGGCTACAGCAGGACACAGGCTCCCGGTCACCCCCCCACCCCAGCTGGAAACTGTGTCTTCATGACGATCCTTCTTTCTCTCTTGATCGGTCGGAACGCGCATTTCAGATGGTTCCAGCGATGGGTGGGAAATAAAGATTCCCTAGGAGGTGGCCGCTGCCTCAGTGTCTCTGTTCCCGTAACAGGTGTAAGCTGACATCAAGATGACGATTCCCACGGATGTCAGACTGGAGTATTTGGAGAGGGTCTCTTCCCTTGTCCTGAAGTTCAAGCCAGACAAGTGGAGTAAGATGATTGGGATGGAGGAGAACATGGCTTTGTTCACTGAATTCTTCGAGAAGCCAGATGTACCGGTTCTGGTGTTGACGCTCAACCCTGCCGGCATGATCATACCCTGCCTGGGCTTCCCAGCCTCCCTCAAGTCCAAAGGGATGTACTTCATCAAGAAGAGACCCGAGAGCATCGGCAAGGACAACTACAAGGAACGTCTGGTCTACGGGGACATAAGCCCCACGCCTGTGGACCAGCTGATCGCCATTGTGGAGGAGGTGTGTGCACCCAGGCCTTGGGGTAGGGGTCGGGGGCAGTGGGGAGGGCTCAGGAGGAACAATGCCTGCTTCCCATACTTTGTGTGAGCGGCCTTGAACCCTGATCATCAGGGGTGGGTCCACAGATCTACATCCACATTACCTACAAGCAGGTCAGGTATTTGAGAGCTCTGGTCCAGCTGCCCTGGCCACTGAGACCGACCTGCTTTCTAACAAGACCTGCAGGGGATGCTGTGCAAATGAAGGCTGAGTGGCCCTGGCCATCACCGGTCTCTCTTGAAATCACTAGAACCTCCACACTGCATTGGGGACAGTCCCTGCCCACAGCCTTAAAAGGTGTGGGCCATTCGAGATGCAGTAGGAGGGTTTCCCAATTCTGAGACTTGGAGCAGAGAAAGGGAAAAGCAAATGCTGCCTTACATCTCTCCCCACTGTCCTGCCACCTCACTGTTGGCTGGTATGGCAGGCGCAGCCCCCTCTGGACAGTCGGACCAGCCAGAGTTCCAGTGACTTAGTTCTCCTTGTCTATGAGATGGGGGTAGTGGGTATCCCCACCTTGTACAAATTCAGGCCACAGGGGTAGCTCAGTCAGGACCCAGACCAACCTCCCCTCACGTCCACCAAGATGGCTGGCATGGCCCCAAACTGGTCACTCGGTTGTGTCCGACCCTTTGCGACCCTACAGACTGTAGCCCGCCAGGCCTCTGTCCATGGGATTTTTCAGGCAAGAATCCTGGAGTGGGTTGCCATTTGTTTCTCTATGGTATCTTCTCGACCCAGGGGTTGAATCCACGTCTCCTGTGTCTCCTGCATTGCAGGCAGATTCTGTACCCCCTGAGCCATCAGGGAAGCACCCCCTAACAAAGCACCAGTTGGGAGGCTGCAAGTCCCAGATGCACGTGTGAACAGGGCTGGTTCTGTCTGAGTCCCTTCTCCTTGGCTGTGGATGGCCGACTTCAAGTGTGTGTCCTCGTGTCTTCTAAGGACAACAGTCATACGGGGTTAGGGCCCCCCTTAACTACCTCTTGAAAAGCCCTCTCTCCAAATCCAGTCACATCCTGAGGTACTGGGGGTCACGGCTCCCACATGTGAATCAGGGGGACACAATTCAGCATATAACAGCACTCCCAGGTAGCAAGGAACATCTGCCTTCAGCCAGGAGTGTGTGCTCTTGTGGCAAGAGTGTGGAGATGGCTTTGCCCCTACAAAGACACAGGGGCGGGGGGACTTGCCTGGTGAACCAGTGATTAAGAATCTGCTTTGCAATGCAGGGGATTCAGGTTTGATCCCTCGTTGTAGAGCTAAGATCCTACATGCCACAGGGCAACTAAGTCCATACATTGCCACATGCCATTGAGACTCATTACAGCCAAATCAATCAGTATTTTGGGGAAAAAAAAACTTTAAAGACACAGGGGCTGGGAGACTTCCCCAGTGGCTGAGAATCTGCCTTGCAACCCTGGGATTCAGGTTTGATCCCTGGTTAGGGAGCTAAGATCTCCTGTGCCACCACAAAGATCCCACATGCACCTGAGACCCTATGCAACCAAATCAATCAGTATTTTTTTGAAAAGAACTTGGGGAAAAAAAGACACAGGGGAGGGGCTTTCATCACTGGTCTCAGCACCTCGACCGGCCCCACCACCTTCTTCAAAGGGAGAAGGGCTCGGTTCCCCCGGGTCGCCGAGGACCCCACTTCTCTGGGTGTCCCCCCACCCAGGTGAGAAGGCTCAGGCAGAGCTGCAGAATCCTGTCCTTTCAGGTCCTCTACTCCCTGTTAAACCAAAGCGAAAACATGAGCGGCTGGCCCCGCGTGGTCTCGGAGGACATTGTGAAGCAAGTCCACAAGCTGAAGAACGAGATGTTTGTGATGGGCGGCAAGATCAAGGGGAAGACCCTGCTGCCCATCCCGGAGCACCTGGGCAGTCTGGACGGCACACTGGAGTCCATGGAGAGGTCAGGGCCTGGCTGGGGAGCTGGAGGGGAGGGGTGGTCCCTGAACACCCAGGGCAAGCTCCCCACAAACTGGTCATAAAGCTAATGAAGCCCAGGAGGGCAGGACTGTGCCTGTAGGTGCTGAGTCTGAGACGGGGCATTGGAGCCCCCCAGACTCTGCGAGGTGACGGCTGGACCCCCGTGCTCCAGCTCCCCCTCCATCACACACGTGCACTAGGCCTTGCATCACGTGGCATGCCAAGAGCATCACATTATCTGGTGTCACACAGGAAGGGGGATCCCCAGCTTTAGGGCATGGGTAGTGAGGGGCATGGAGTGGGTTTGCAGCCGGTGGAGGCTACACTTCTGAATGGAGGCTGGGGCTTCCCAGAGACCCCCAGAAGCACGAGGACCCCCCAGGTGTCACTGAGCACCTGCCCGAGCGCCGTTTGCAACGGTGTGGTGTGCGCGGCTCCTGAAGCTGTGGCAGCGACCACGTGTTACTTTCCTCCCATCAGAGGGTGAGCACTCCTGCAGTGCTCATCATGCAGGCAGGTCCTCTAGGCCCCCAACACTCGCCCTGTGGTGACCCGATCAGAACTGCCCTAGAGCTGTGGCGCAACGTGGATTTTATTCCAGAGCTGTCTCCCTTCATCCTCTTCATCGGGGTCACCGGTACCCCAGGCAAAACCCATTATTGTCTCAGGCTCTGTCCTGGCTGAGGGCTGCTGGGGGCGGAGCTGGAAGAAGCCTGCAGGTGTAACTGAGAGCATCCCCCACCAACCCCCCAACCCTTGGCTCTTGCCCCTTGCCGACCCTGGGGATGGTGGGGGGTCTGCCTCCCCTCAGCAGCAACTTCCTGGAGTCCTGCCTTTTGAGGGAGCAGGTGTCTGTAAACACACTCAGCTGCCCGTCGTCATTTCTTGCCATCAGGGATGGGGGCCAGTTTCTGCTCTCGTGGGGATGAGCCCCTGTTCTTGTTCCACACAGGCCTGAAGGAAGCCAACGATATCGTTCTGTACCTGAAGCCCTTGCGTATCTTGCTGGAGGAGATGGAACAGGCCGACTTTACGGCGGTACATCAGCAAGAGAGGGTCCCTTGGCTGGCTTGTCGGGCTCTGGGCTTGTGTCTTGGGGCAGAAGAAAGGGGCTGCGGGCTTCCTGGCTGTAGTCGGGCACAAGTACCGGGTGGGGGCATCTCTTCTTGCCCTTGGAGTTTCCCCCTCCTGGAGCCGTGCGGAGCGGGGAGCTGAGGTGCTGTAACCAAGCACCTGCCCGCCCGTCTCTCCCCAGCTCCCGACCTTCATCACCAAGGTGCTGTACACCATCTGCTTCATCTGGGCCACCTCCGAGCACTACAACACACCCTCCCGGATCATTGTCATCCTGCAGGAGTTCTGCAACCAGCTCATCGACATGGTAGCCCCCAGGCCCCAGTGCCTTCCCTCCCCCACCCCCAGCGTTCCCCTCCCCCATCCTACCCTGCCTCCCGGTCCATGTTCCCCAGCAGTTCAAAAACAGGCAAAGATGTAGGTGCAAGAATTTTCAGGCTGAGGCTGGGGCCCCCTGGGTGGCCACCCAGGGTTGTCCCAACACCTGGGCAGAGCCAGCCCAACCTGCCTCATGCAGGGAGGGAGGAGGAATGAAAGAGGGGCTGCCCACAGAGTCCCGGCACACCGCGCCAGGGGCTTTGAGGGATTTATCTGCTCCGACAACACCCATTCCCTTCCCTTCTTCCATTTCACAAGCACACGTTACACAGCCTCCAAGGTCTGAGTTGCAGCTTTGGGCCCTGGCTACCAGAGTGTGGGAGAATCAGGCTCGTGGTCCTGTCTCCCAGCTCAGAGGGACACAGTGGCCCAGGGCCCCGCAGCCAGAGCAGGACTGCATTTCTGGGCCCCTCATCATCTGCCTCTAGAGTCTGATGGTGCTGTGACCTTGGCCTGGGCCGAAGGGCCCTGCAACTGGCCCTGGGTGGGCAGACCGGCTCGGCCAAGAGCCTGCGGGACAGCGGGTGTGTCAGAAGAAGTGGTCTAACGGCCTGGGGTGGGGCAAGAGGGTCATTTTAACTGACCATGCAGTTGTGGACAGTGCACCTGGGTGTCACCCCTCCGGCTCAACTTGGGAACATCTTCCCTTCTGCCCAGACGCGGACCTTCCTGAGCCCCGAGGAGGTGCTGAAAGGCCTGCAGGGGGAAATTGAGGAGGTTCTGACCGGCATCACTCTGTCTGTGAATGTCCTGAAGGAGCTGTACCGGGTCTACGACTTCTGTTGTGCAAACATGAAGCTTTTCTTCAAGGTACAGCTTGGTTGCGGACAGAGGATGAGGGGAAAGAAGTTGGGGTGATGACCCCATGGACCTGCCTTTTCTCTTTCTCCTAGAAGAACAAGGAGCCGGTGCCTTGGGAATTCCCTTCTTCTCTTGCCTTTTCCAGAATAAATTCCTTCTTCCGCCGTGTCCAGACCATCGAGGTACAGGTGGAATTTGGCTCCCCTCCCTCTTAGGAGAACTGCACCTTGCTTGTAGGTGGGCTCCCAGGAGGGAAATGAAAGTCACACCCAAACATCTGTGTCCCTGGGAAGCCAAGTCACTGGGTTGCCCCCACCAGGCCCAGAGCTGTTAACCCAGAACAAAGCGGTCCATTTCAGTTGCTTTTCCCTCTTCTCCTGCCTTCTGTCCACAAGCAGGTTAATGACAAGTTCATTGACCTGGGTCAGGAAGCCTGCAGGCCAAGGGAGAGGGTGAGAGGGACTAAGTTAGCACAACTGAGGTTTTAAGAAGGACCTTATTTGGATACATGGAATGACATGGGACAAATAACACTTCTAAAGAGGTTCAGAACAGTTTCCTCTGGGGAGAAGAGGTGAGAGGTGAAGGCATGTCTAGGGCAAGAAGGTTTTCCTTCTTATTTTGTAATCTGTAGGGGGTCTCTTTTTTGGACATATTTTGTATACGTGTTACACTATTTAAAAAAATAAAGCAGGGTTGTGGGGGCAGTGGATCCTAGAACCACTGGGCAGTGACTTTTTGAGGGATGCTGTCAGCGGGGGCTCTGGGAAGGCCTCTACGGCTCCCATCCATACCCTCTGGGAGGCAGAGCAAGAAACCCCTTGAGAAGCTATATCTTGGTTACAGAGCGTTTCTTCATGCCCCAAGGCTCCCAGCTCGAGAACTTGAGGGTCCCAGCCGAGCTTCTGGCCAAATAGCTGCTGGTTCCTACATTGTAGATTCTGAATTGGGATGGAGCTTCTGGGAGAAGAGGCACTGCTGGGGGAGGGGGGGGGAAACAGCCATGTTGTCCACCCCTTGCCCGACGGGCCATGCCATGCCAGCTGTGCCACCCTTCTCTGGCACGAGAGGCCCAGAATGTGAGGCGTGACAACACTGTTACTTTCCAGTAGGTTTGGTTGGGTCATATCTTGATACACCTTGGATCTTTGGTGGGAAACAGCACCAACCTTGGCACCGGTTTAGGGGAGGGACTGGAGTGCCCTGTGAGCACAGGATCAGGCACATGGGGCCTGCTTGTGGTCCTCAACGAGGCTTTGGGGGTCTCGATGGGGAAATGAGAGCTACAGACAGAAGCAATAGATAGCTCAATAAGACTGAATGGGGTTAAATGCCAAACCAGCGGTCTTGGAAAGGAAGGTACCATCTGGGCTAAAGGAGTTGGAGAAGTGAGAGAGACTCAAGTCTTGGAGGGAATGAGCAAGTGGGACTTAATATCCATCCGTAAACATCCATCAGGCATCCAGTACATGAGGCTGTGAGGAACCACCATGTTTCTAACTGCTTCCTCCCACAGCCCAGGAGGTGGGGCCCCTGTAAAGTGTGAATTTATTTGTAGACGCATGTCACCCAGTGTTGGGTCAGGACAAGATCCCGACCTTCATCGCCTCCTCCTCCACAATCACAACTGGGAGATTACTCACAGGACTCTCACTTCCATCCCCTCCGTCTGTGTCCCTGAAACGGCNATCCCCTTCTCCTCCCGCCTTCAATCTTTCCCAGCATCAGGCTGTTTTCCACTGAGTCAGTTCTTCACATCAGGTGGCCAAAGTATTGGAGTTTCAGCATCAGTCCTTCTAGTGAACGGTTGTAGAATCAGTCTAATCATGCAGTCTGGAGATTGTAGGTGAAGGGCCAGGCCCAGAAAGGACAGGAGCCTTTCCCAGTGCCTTAGAGAGAGTCAGCAGTCGGCACCTTGAGTAGCTTCTGAGGGGGTCTTCCTGCTACATTTCATCTTAGGAAAGTGAGCATGGGGTTATTGTACTGAGTCCTGCTCTCCATTTGTCCTTCTTTGATTCAGTTCCCTCATTACTTATATAAGGAGCAGAAGTTAGAGGCAGAGTTGCTCTAAAAAATAAAACGCATCCACATTTTGAGCCGCTGAGCCACACTGACTTTCTTAACATTTGAGGTCAGAGAATACACAGTATTACGTGCATATACACAATATTGTGGGTGTATACACATAATACACAGTATTATGACTGGGAGTCATTTCTGGGTGGCGGGGTGATGGCTAATATTTTTTTGTCTTCTGTGTACTTTTCTCCTATTTCCAGGTTGTGCGGGTAAGGTGTATAGCACTTCTACAGTTAGAAAAAGAAAATGCTTATGAAAACATTAAAAAAAACAAAACAGATTGCAGAAAAGTACTAAAGCTCCTAGAGACCCTCAGTTTGAAAGAGAAACCCAAACAGCCGATACTCACTTAGGTTGTTGGTTTGGCCTCGCAAATGATCGGGAAAGTGCAAGTTAGAACTTTGTCATTGGTCAGACTGGCTGGAACTGTGAGGAGCTGGACACTCGTCCCCTCTGCTGGTTGGTGCACCCCTCAGCAGCGGGCACATGGTGGGGGCACATGGAGATGGGCTCCTGGACCTTCCTGGTCCAGGTTCACGAGGTAGCCAGCATTTGGTGCCGGCATGCCAGGACGTTCCTTTGACTTTTGCGTATTTCTAAAGCAAAAATGCTTGAGGATTTGAAGCTCTGCAAATGTAAAGATCAATTAAGTCTTGGATGGAGTTGGTGCTCCAGGCAAAATATCAATGAATGCAAATTAATACAGAGCCTCCGAGCGGTTCCCTTCTCTGAACACCCTTCCCGTTGGAGCCGCCTCGGGCACCTCCTCAGAGAGGCCCCCCTCACCTCCTCCTCCCAGCAGGAACCCTCCCCGCGCCACCATTGCTGACACCGACCTGATTGGTTTTCCTTCTTCGTGCTTGGCTCTCCCTGGCATCCGTTGTATACTGATCTCTTCCTGTCTGTCGTCCTCCCAACTAGAATATAAACTCCCTGAGGGCAGGTGCTTGGTTTGGGTTGACGCAGAACCAAGCCCAGTGCAAGACCAGGCTTTCCTGGTGGAGGGAACTGGCCCCCGCTGAGACGGTGGAGCTGCTACCCTGCTGCCTCCCTGGCAGACCTTAGGTGGGAGCCAGAGGCTGTTAGCCCCAGGGCGACCCAAGTGCAAAGGGTCCCGAGTAAGGTTGCCAGCCAGTGCTTCCACATGGAAATGCCGGTCCTCCCCTGTGGTGGGGTCTTTGTAATGAAGACGATGCTGGAGCTGATGGACTGCGGCACCAGTTAGCCCTTCTTGCCTGTGGTGGGGATGGCATGCCCCCAGGCCTCTCGGAGGCTGGGTACCACCTTGTGCTGTCTTTCGGTAATGGGGAAGGAGGTGGGTTGAGTTGTCCATGCCAAGTTGCCAGAGACCATAGGTGCCCCCTCAGAGAGGAGGAGCAGGCCAAGGAGGAACACTGGGTGGCACGTGCGGGACGGAAGGCCACTCCCTGGGTGTTTTCACAGGCACCTCTCCACTCCACCTTGGCCTAAATCGGCTCTGTAATCCGCAAGAGAAAGTCCTTTTCAGACACGTGACTTTGTGTTAGATTAGAAAGAAAATAAGTCAGGAAGACTCCCATAAACCATTCCTGTCTCCATCTGCTCATCTTCCTTCCCGCACTGAAGACCATTTTCTTCCCATTTGACAAGCCTCCGCTCTAATTAGGACAGGCCCTTGGGGTGCCCTCCCGCCCATCCGCTTGACCCCCTGCGTGTTCCCAAGCTGCTAGGATGCTATTTCTCGCTGTCAGTAATTCACACGCAGCTGGGAAGGTTCTAGAGCAATTTTCCACACAACCTCCTCCTGGCAGAAAATGAAATTAACCTCCTTCCCAGAAGCCAGGGGCCAGAAAACATGTGAGCGTGAAATAAAGGGAAGAGGGAGGAAAAAAGTCAAGAGGGTTGTCAAGCAATACAATGCGCTTTTCCCAACTGCTCTGGGTCAGTTTTCAGAGAGACAACACTGGCGACATCATGTGTGGGGGCCACCCCCGCCCCCTCGACTTCAGGGAGTAGTGGTTAGCAACTCGGGGTCACAATGTCTTCCTGGGAGTCAGTGGCTGCTCTCATCGACTTTCAGGGACCTAAAAATCTCTCCTGCTTTCTCAGCAGCCACTATTCCACCCTTTCCCCGAAAGGCCACTTTTGGGCACAGTGGTCTTAGTTTTCATACTGAAAACTAGGGCAAATCTGAGATTTGGGTCCAGGCCTTCAGGGTCCAAGGGCTCAGGCAGCCGCAGGGACTTGTCCCCTGGTGACCCCTGGCTGGCTGAGAGCTTCCTGAATGTCCGGCACGTGTCACTGTCCAGCGCACATGGCCACTCTCTGCGGGCTGCAGTAAGGGCGCCTCCCCCAATGCTTAGGCGCAGCCCCAGTCCCCGCTGCCTCCAGGCCTCCCACCACCACTAGAGGACTTTTTAAGAAACCCGCCTCTCTGTCCCAACTTGAGCCACCCTCTGATGCCAGCCAAGACCACAACCAAGACAGCCAGATGATCCTCCCTTATTCTCTTCTATGAGCTTTTCGTTTGTTTAGTGAAAGCGAGTGTGTAGCATTTGCAGACATGAGCCCGCTTGCATGAGCCCGCTAC